GATAGCAGTCAGTACCAGTGGAGTAAGGTATGTAATGTCAGTATGTGAGTATCAGTGTATAGTAACATGTTATATCACTTATTACTAGTCATTGTATTGTTATGTTATATCATATCAACAGATTGTTCTACCTGAATCTGTTACTGGTAGATACTCTCATTCCTTATCATCAATAATGATGAGTCCAGACTGTGTGTGGTTGGTGGTAGTGGGTGGGTCTGGAGCAACTGAATGGAAAGATGTAGGAAGAGGAGTAGAGAAACCATTTAGTACATATATCACTGATCCTAATATCACAATGTTAATAGAACTAGGTAAGAACTGAACTATCATGAATATACACCAGTACTGTTCATATACTAACATATATTGTATTAAGTGATACTGTATAGCTACAAATTTGTATTGGTCAAAAATTTTTTCAAATTCGTCCAGAATTTTCGCTTGATGAAATTTATAAACAATGAAATTTTTACTCAATGTTAGGTTTATAATGAATAATTATGACAAAAATTTTATGGACAAAGATTAATTTTAACAAGAAATTAAGATTTTGACAAAATTTTTGACTGACGAAATTTAGGAGCTATACAGTATACTCACTGATACTGTATTATTGGGTGAAGCCTGTACTGGTGGAGTAGTTCTGCTTGTACATGTACATCTGGGCGTGGCTAGGGGTGGAGCCCCATTAAGTTTACATTCTTCTAGTATTAATAATGTCATTAGCCTTTACTCTCTGCATGTCTACTCTTCTTTATTTGTCTACACCATCTCTTTATTTAATTTATTCATCTCTACTATGTTCACACCTCTTCTTTCTTGCTTTTACCTCCTTTCTACCTTTCCTTCTTCTGACCTTTATCCACTCTCTCTCCCTCTCTCTCTCTCAGTTCTCACTAAAGGTCAATGGACAGTAAGTGAAGTACTAGATTCTACTGATCTTACTAAAGAGGCCTATCAACACAAATATCAATCATTCCTTAAAACAAGACAATGGTGGCAAGATCGTTGTTCTATAGTCTATCCAACAGAAAAGGAAGTACAACAGCAGCAGTACATACAAGTACTGCAACACGAGTTAAGAGTATTTGAAGTAAATAAAACCTCACTGCAGGAAGCACTCCTTGAGGCTAGTCAGCAAGGTATAGTCCTCTACTGTGTGTGTGTGTGTTTATTATTTTGTGATTTATGAATAAACTTTACATTAAGAGGTGATATATGTGACACATTTAATTAGTAATGACACATTATGACATGATTGTTAATTATTGTTAATAGTGTATATGTGTATTGGTTAGGTGATGTTACTGATGATACTTACACTAAGAGTCCTCCTCCTCCTGCTAGTGTTGATGATTCTAAAGTGAAGAGTTCAATACAAGAATGGAAGAACATTACTGGTGAGGTTATACCATGAGTACATTACTGTATATCTAATGATGAGATAATACATTGAATTTTATGTAGAAGAGATTGAGAAAATGAAGGCTCTTAATGATAAAAAGGATATTATTATAGCCAACCAGGCAGAGGAGAAGACTTTAATTCATGGTAAAACTATCTCGTGCTATTATACTAATTTATCATATACATGTACATGTGCTCTTTTTGTAGAAGAG